CATTCGATGTCTTTTTCAAGGAAGGAATTTTCTGGATAATTGAGGATGCATGCCCTTGTGTTTATTCATCCTACTTGGCTAACTGACGTGTGGGTGAGCTGGTGTTCCAGGAGGCAAAGCAGAAAGGTTGGGAAATAATAGATATTGTTCTCCACTATATGTGTAAGAGGTCCTTCAGGTAACCTGCAATGTAGGTTAGTTCCAACGCTTTATACTATTTCTACGTTGCCTGGGGCGGTGGGGTAGCCTAGTGGCTAAAGCATCCGCTCGTCACGCCGAAGACCCGGGTTCGATTCCCCACAAGGGTACAATGTGTGATGCCCATTTCTGGTGTTCCCCGCCGTGATATTGCTTGAATATTGCTAAAAGCGACGTTAAACCACACTCACTCACTCATTCTACATTGCCTAGCATACTCTTTCGCGCTACATATCCAAACCGTAGACAGTGAATTACCACTTGTAGATATGCACACTAACAATTGGTCGCATTATCTCAATGACCGGAGCAATGATAAAACCACTCATGTACGTCCACACTAACAGTCGTGGTCGTATTATCTCTGCGATAAGAAAAATGATAAAACCACTAATCTACGTCCACACTAACAATCGTGGTCGTATTATCTCTGCGATAAGAAAAATGATAAAACCACTCATGTACGTCCACACTAACAATCGTGGTCGCATTATTTCCGTGACCGGAGCAGTAATAAAAGCACTAAATTAGATGTGTAAGCATTTGTAGTTGGATTATCTCCGAGACAGTAGCGATGATATCGTCCACACTATCATACCTGGTTAGAGTCATGATCACTGATTGATATCGGTAACAGCATTATTGTCGTATCATATCCGTGGCAAAAGTAGTGATAAAATCCTCCTGGGTGCGGTATAAACTATAGATATTCGCCTCCACTCTCTGCCGCACGGTTATATCTAGACATAACGGCAAGGGGTGGCTGATGTAGCGTCATCATACCTGCGCATGCCTGTCAAGGAGGGTCTTTTGGGGTAGGGTTTTAGGTGAATAACTGACTTGCCCTTGCATGTGTTTCTAATTGGTACTCTCATGGGACAGGACACCCTGACCTTGCCGCGGATTCCTGGTATCATATAGAACAAGTACGTGTCATCGTATATATGGATGACAACTTCTTTAATTCTAGAGCACGACGTTTCGATACATTTTCTTGTATCGTTTTCAAGTCTGAAAACGATAATATCTAGAATTTCATACTTGAAAACGATACAAGAACATGTATCGAAACGTCGTGCCCTAGAATTAAAGAAGTTATCATCCATATATACTTGTTCTATCTGACTTCCAACTTCTAACATGCCACTCAAAGAAGTCCTGGTATCATCTGTAACAGACGGTGATTCATAAACACTTGTTTGTATAATAATAATAATGTGTCCATGTATATAGCGCCAAACTCACACTAGGTATGCTCATAGCGCTAACAATGAATAGCACAGCACATTATTACCCAGGATAACCCAAGCTGCCTGTTAGGCCCTAGAAGGTTATAGTCATATGACCTTTTCCACCGGGTACCCATTTTCCTGCTGGGTGAACAGAGACAATTTTGAACAAACTCACTTGTCAAAGGTGAGACCACATGTGTCTCATGTGCTTCGTTGTGGGGCAGGACTCAAGTCCTAGAAACTCTCAGGAGTCAAGCTGCCAAACACGGTCACCCATCCAAGGACTCTCCGAACTCGACGCTGCTTAACTTCACCGATTTGTGACCTGAGCTTTGCGCACAGGACCATATTATCGGAATAGGGTCCACTTCTATCGGAGAGTTAAGAAATGGGAAGGGTTTTGTCGTTTTTATTCAGATAATGTATTGTATGATTTTGTTGAAATCCAAAAAAAACCATTATCCTGTTCAGTGAAACTTTCCATGTTTGTAGAAATCCTGTTTGTATGTTTTACAAGGCCGCACCTTTCTTGATAGTATTTAGACATTCTTCAAACTTGACGCAATCCTTGTGTCCACAAGCATGGCCACACAAATATCTATAGGCCTACGATAACAATATATGTATGCTGCTGCGTAGCATGAAGCTTGTCACTACTGTACCGTACCGTAATGTTAACATATACCTTAAGTCCGGTATAAATAACAGCTGAATTAACCATCACCGAGTTGATAATATGGACACCAACAGGACAACTGGGTTCAACCTATATTCGAACGGTTACCAATGTGGTTATAATGGTCCCAATATCCTTCACGTTACTATGTGAATTGCCTAAAACTTAATTGTGACATATCTCCACCTAGATTCCACCTTGTTAAACTTGAGAGAAAAAGCGTGTGGTATGTAGCATATGAAGAAGAAGGTCAATTGAAACAAAGATAAAAGTGATTGAGCTTGAGTCAGCTGCATTTACCATTTCTCTTCAAGTTACCTACATCCACGAGTTCAGTGAAGTTAGCTGCTTTCATCAATGAAGATACGTTTGCTGCATCAATAATTTCTATCAAGTCAGCCTGAGCTCTGATAAAGCATGAGATGAGATGAGGCCGATACAAAGATTGATGCAAACATGCATAGATACTCCTACTTTATCGTGTTACAGCTAGTAATCATGAACTACTATAGGAAAATAACAACATAAAATTAGTGTAGGGTTCAGCCAAAATGCAACCTACCGATACAGTTAATTGGGAAAAAACCACAATTAACGTTTTATGGAAGTACATCAAAACTGAGGTATAAACTCCATACAATACGTCACTAAAAGGTGATATTTATCTCAGTAATCACACTTCAATGTTGCAGCTTTACACGATCATAGTTCAACCTCTGTGTGTTGACTGTATGAACATACTGACATACAGTCACAGACTATGGCATGTAAGGCAGAAGATGTGACATGTGAAGAACGAGATGTGACATGTGAAGAACGAGATGTAACATGTGAAGAACAATATGTGACATGTGAAGAACGAGATGTGACATGTGAAGAACAATATGTGACATGTGAAGAACAACAATGTGACATGTGAAGAACAAGATGTGGCATGTGAACAACAAGATGTGACATGTGACGAACAAATCGTGACATGTGAGGGTTGAGATGTGACGTGAAGTATAAGATGTAATATGTGTAGGATAAGATGTGATATGTTACGGTAAAGATGTGACATGTGTAGGATAAGATGTGATATGTGAGGGTAAAATGTAACATGTGAGGGTAAGATGTGACATGTGAAGGTAAGATGTGACATGTGAAGGTAAGATTTGATATGTAAGGGTAAGATGTGTCATGGTAGGGTAAGATGTGATATGTGAAGGTAATATGTGACGTGCCCAGGTAAGATGTGACATGTGAAGGTAAGATGTGACATGTGAAGATAATAAGTGACGTGCCAGGGTAAGATGTGACATGTGAAGGTAAGATGTGACATGTGAATGTAAGATTTGACATGTAAGGGTAAGATTTGACATGAGAGGGTAAGATGTGACATGTGAATGTAAGATGTGACTTGTGAAGGTAAGATGTGACATGTGAGGGTAAGATGTGCTATGCCAGGGTAAGATGTGACATGTGGTGGTAAGGTGTGACATGTGAGGGTAAGATGTGACATGTGAGGATAAGGATGAGTCATGTGAAGAACTAAATGTGATATGGAGGGCACAAGGTTTGAAGGGCAGGGATTCACTATTTTTTTTAAACCCCACCAACTTGCAATTATTTTCCGACGCAGTCTGATATTTGAAGACTTCAATAAAGTGGTGTATTTGTATAAATGTAATAGAGGTGCCTCCTGTGAATTTACCATGCAGCGCTATAACCAACAATAGCAAATACGATGAAAGTGGAGAGTTGCCCCCGTTGTTGACTTGGCCGACTTTTGTTTATGATATACTGCCAGAAGGTTTGATGATCGCCATCCTCTTTTATTGCTGCAAGAATAAAGGTTGTGAAATGGGGAAGTAATGCGAGCCCTCACCCAGTAACCTAGTGAACGCAAGGATATTGTTATGTTAGGGTATATATGTGATTCATCTTAAACAATGCCTATACCATTTGTAGATTTGGCAGGCGTGTGTTGGAACATAGTGGCGTGATGAACACTGACAGTTGTGTGTGTGGTAAAGTCTCTTGCATCAACTAGAAACGCAATAAGGCCCAGGGTCTATTATTGAATGTAATGACGCATGGCCGTGCTCGCTGATGTAGCGCTTCAAAGCCCTGGAGAAATGGCATAATATTAACCATCTGGCCTGTTCTCATGTGTGCACTATCTAGAGAAAAGACTATAGTCGATACAACAGATTCTAACTTGATTTGTTTGTGTCGAGCTGCATGATGCATGCATCACCGACTGTCACCCCGACTCCTGGGATCAACAATTCCTGTTTGTCCTTTCTGAATGTTAACCTGTTTACTGAATGTTAACCTGTTTACTTCGGTTGCCATGGTTGTCATCCCTTTCCAGTAAACTCCCTTCGACATGACGGTGTGTACCACACGACTGCTCGTGTGTTCTACGGAAAGGTTCACTAGCAGAGTTTATAGGACCAACACCACGAGATGTTTGTGTTCTAGATATTGTCCGCCACTGAGTGGGCTGACATCCATCATCAGCAAATGATTACACCTTTCGACAATAAGAATCATTACAATCATTCGATTTTGTTACATGGGAGACCGTCCGATTACATTTCACGTCAGATTGACATCTTTATAAGCACACGCTCACAGTGCAAGTTAGACTGACAATATTTATAAGCACATAATTACAGTCCACGTTAGACTGACAATCTTTATAAGCACACGAGTACAGTCCACGTTACAGGCCAATCGTGTTGACAATCATTACAGACAAACAGCTGAAACGGCCCATGCATATACCAATCAAGGGCTCACTGCAGGCGAGGTAACATGTACAACTAACATTGACATATTTGATGTGGGTAGGAACATGAAGTTTGTTTCAGTTCTGAAGTAATTAGATGCCTTTGTTTCCATTTCAGCACCTGCTGTTAAGAATGTGGACACCAGCCATGTACGTGACAACGCCGGGTGTGCTGCTCATACTGTGTGTCGCTAGCATCACAAGTCAGTCGAGGTTACAGGCTTTGAAAAATGACTTCCTAGTGAAAAATTTGACAAAATTCCAGTTAACAGAGAAAATCAAGCAACAGATTCTGATCCATCTAGGCATGAACACTCGACCCACGTCAGCCCCTGACGACAAAGACAAGATCTATCGAATGTACAATGTGACGGGGACGAAAGCAGAAATTAATGAGATTATCAGCTTTTCTGAGCCCCCAGGTAAGACGTTCACCATTATATTTCATAGAATTATTTGAAAATATCTTGAGTGAGTATTTAATGCACATATAGTTGTTACTGGGCCGAACCGTATACTCACGTAGTTCATTTATATTTTGCAGATAAGTTTGAAGATGAGAAAATTATTCAGTTTCGTTTTGCAAAAGGAACCAAAGGAAAGCGACTCATTGTGAAAAGTGCCAGTCTTCTGATCAGAGTCAAGAATAAGCAACATGGGGGAGTGAAGACCAGAAAAGACAGTCATTTGAGGATGAAAACACAGAACTTCAAAAGACGTAAACGGAGACGGGGAACCAGGGTCTCCTTGTCTGTCTCCACCGTGACACCTGATGGTCGTCCTGAAAAAAAACATCGCAGCAGTCAAATCAAGGATAAAGAAAAACAAATGGTTCAAAGTAAATCTAAATAGAACTATAATGCAGTCGTTAGTGGACTCTTCTAACGGCACCGTGTTGCTGTACGTCCAATGCCAAGGATGTAAGAGGAATACGCAAGTTGTCTTGGTTCACCCAAAACGACGAAGGAAACGACAGTTAAAAAGACGTAAAACCAGAGTTAGAAGTAGACAAAGAACAAGAAGCACTAGGGTTCCTAAACTAAACAAGGGTCGTCCCTTTTTAATACTGCACACTCTGGTAGAAGGAAATAGCAGAAAGAAGAGGAGCCTTAACTGTCAATGTTCTCGGTGCTGCAAAAGACAGTTATACGTCAATTTCACAGAAATAGGATGGGATGATTGGATTATCTCCCCCTCACGGCTTCACGACCGGGGAGTGTGTAGGTGAATGTCCAAATCACAATGTTTATAGATCAGAAAATACAGTGTTATGTGTTTCTACGCGCAGGAGATCTTTAAGATTAATATACCAGGAAACTGTGGGAGTGGTCATCAGCAGCATCCTGCCAAATTTCATAGTTACTCAGTGTGGTTGTAAAGCAGGTCATCAAGTGCTACCTGAAGCCCCCGACAGGATCACCTAGTGGAGACACTGCAGGCAGGCATTATTTATACGGTTTGACATACATGGAGAGATCATCTGGTTAACGTTGATCTTTCTGTTATAACAAATGGAAGCCATTCCCAATAGCATAATGCGATAACTATATGCTGACATGACGTAATACACGATGTAAATATGACAAACGGTCGATGACACAGGTAGGAAATCATCAATGGACCTGCAGTGATTATGACGAGGGCGGTTTTCTGGACATATGAAGATGTTAAACTACCACGTTAGCTGTATTCTTTAGTCTAGCCAGCTGGCAATATGTGTGTAACAGTTCTGTTGGGCTGTGTTTCTTGTAACTTAAGTCAATGTAGCTTTTTCAGGAAGTTTTTCTGATTGCAGTCTGTGGATATTGTGTATGTTAGCACAATCATCTGTGGAGTCCAAGAGGGTATTGTCGTCTTGTCACACTGGCACGTCGCCGGCCTGAAAAACATAAGAAAAAGCATGAACAGATATGCCAAAACATGTTATTATCACAATTGGCGTCGCAACATTTGGACTCGTTGTCCCATTGTTGCAATAATCTTTTTTAATTTTTACGAAAGGGCGACAATTTGACAACGGTAAATATTCAAAGGTCATAATATGTCCCGCTGTTGCATCGTCCATCAATCTAATACTAAAACACATGTACTTAGGGCAACGTGGGTACTTTTCAAAACAAACCTTTCCGGGTCTTCAGGCATTATTCCGATATTCTTATAGTTATAAACCGACGTGTTTTGATATCAGTAACTGGCTCTTTGTCTTTCTATTTCATTTTATTAAAGCTTATTTGAACATTTTCAAATGTAAAGATATCATAATCTCAATCTTTGATTACAGGTATAAATGCAAAATGCATAGCCTGAAAATATTGGGCTAACTCTGTGAAGGACAGTCTGTTATCTTCGGTTGATTTAGTGTGTATATAAACATCGCAAACCACGCTGCTGTAAAACATGTTCTTTACTCACCACACGTCTCTTAGTCTATAAGGATAGCTTGGGTGAATATCACCGCCATGAACAGCACTTCACTTATTTCCATGCCTGTCAGCGTCATGATAAAGCACCATGGCAACACTGATGAAACCTACAAGCAGGTGTATTCTTCTGACAAACCTAAACTTTAACCAGGACAAATCGTTGATCCAGGCGAACGATCACAAGTTCCTCACACCCCTAGGGGAAGCAAGTCTGCACAGCTAACTGCACCACCAAAGGCAACCAGACGGGACCTGTCCCTCCATTGCTTTAAAGGGTGATCGAATTATATTAACCAGAAACCCAAAGACTTTATTACTTGCATTCAAAACACGATGTTTTTAAAAGATATGGATACATTTTGAAAAGGCAACTAGTATTGACTTTGGAGGCTCTGTTTTAGAATCACTGGAATTGAAAAGATCATTGGAATGTAACAAGTAAAATCATATCTGGAAAGCACGTCATTCATGGAAAATGACGACAATATGTATCGCTTTGCCACATTGTCGCGACGTTTCTGCGTATAGGCGCAATGTACATCGTTTCACACATTTGAGGGGGTGCCACTATATGTCAAAGTAAGAAAGCGACATTTTGTGACCTTGTGAAATGTCGCGTTGTCGCATTGTTTTTGATAGAAATATAAACAGTACTAATAGCGCAAACAACCGCAGTTGGTCAAAATACCACGTCAAATTGTATGGACAACAACGAAATAATTCCTGGACTTTCTTTCTTGGACTCCATAATTATCCAATATGCGAGACAGAATATGTCAACATACCCATTGCGACTGTCGAACATAAGCCTGCAAATGTCACACATGATTACATCGGTCCTATTCCAATATTTAAAAAAATGACGTTTATTATTTATTACGTTACAAATTTCCAATGATCAATTTTGAAAACCGGAGACACAGCTGACAAGTGTAAACAAGGAGCTGTTTCTTGCTGGGTACCGTTGCATCACTTTGAACCCTGCTCTTCATGTTAATTGCCAATGATAAATATTTCCCATGTGAAGCTCTGTGATGAATAATCCAACATGCTGGACAACTGTCATTGTGCTACTGAACAGAGTTCAATCAGTGACCAGTTGTGTTTGTTGGTAATATTGGTACAAAAACAATAAAACGTTTCCTTCCTCACTTTTGTTTTCAGTTCAAAATAAACAAAAGAGCCCTACATCCACCACCACCTTTGACAAGAATATGACAGGAAATATTTAATTTCGACAACTTTGTCTAATAGAAAGTTTTTAGCGGTTAAACATTACGATAAAGGATAACTATTGCACATGAATGTGTTTGTTCAATCCATACGATATGTCGATGTGGGACTGGGACAGAAAACACCTCTGTTTACCTACAGAGACAACGAAGGTAACAGGTCCAGATTGCTCGGTAGTCCTCTGAGAAGGTCATGTCTGTATGTGATGAGTGTGTAGAGAGACACAACATGTCTGTATGTCATGAGTGTGTAGAGAGACACAACATGTCTGTATGTGATGAGTGTGTAGAGGGACACAACATGTCTGTATGTGATGAGTGTGTAGAGGGACACAACAAGTCCGTATGTGTGATGAGTGTGTAGAGAGACACAACATGTCTGTATGTGATGGGTGTGCAGAAAGACACAACACGTCTGTATGTCATGAGTGTGTAGAGAGACACAACATGCCTGTATGTGATGAGTGTGTAGAGGGACACAACATGTCTGTATGTGATGAGTGTGTAGAGAGACACAACATGTCTGTATGTCATGAGTGTGTAGAGAGACACAACATGTCTGTATGTGTGATGAGTGTGTAGAGAGACACAACATGTCTGTATGTGATAAATGTGTGTAGAGAGACACAACATGTCTGTATGTGATGAGTGTGTAGAGAGACACAACATGTCTGTATGTGTGATGAGTGTGTAGAGAGACACAACATGTCTGTATGTGATGAGTGTGTAGAGGGACACAACATGTCTATATGTGTGATGAGTGTGTAGAGAGACACAACATGTCTGTATGTGATGGGTGTGCAGAAAGACACAACACGTCTGTATGTCATGAGTCTGTAGAGAGACACAACATGCCTGTATGTCATGAGTGTGTAGAGGGACACAACATGTCTGTATGTGATGAGTGTGTAGAGAGACACAACATGCCTGTATGTCATGATCGTGTAGAGAGACACAACATGTCTGTATGTGATGATTGTGTAGAGAGACACAACATGTCTGTATGTGATGAGTGTGTAGAGAGACACAACATGTCTGTATGTGTGATGAGTGTGTAGAGAGACACAACATGTCTGTATGTGATGAGTGTGTAGAGGGACACAACATGTCTATATGTGTGATGAGTGTGTAGAGAGACACAACATGTCTGTATGTGATGGGTGTGCAGAAAGACACAACACGTCTGTATGTCATGAGTCTGTAGAGAGACACAACATGTCTGTATGTCATGAGTGTGTAGAGAGACACAACATGTCTGTATGTCATGAGTGTGTAGAGAGACACAACATGTCTGTATGTCATGAGTCTGAAGAGAGACACAACATGTCTGTATGTGTGATGAGTGAGTAGAGGGACACAACATGTCTGCATATCATGAGTGTGTTGGGGGACACAACATGTCTGTATGTCATGAGTGTGTAGAGAGACACAACATGTCTGTATGTCATGAGTGTGTAGAGAGACACAACATGTCTGTATGTGTGATGAGTGTGTAGAGAGACACAACATGTCTGTATGTCATGAGTGTGTAGAGAGACACAACATGTCTGTATGTGTGATGAGTGTGTAGAGAGACACAACATGTCTGTATGTCATGAGTGTGTAGAGAGACACAACATGTCTGTATGTCATGAGTCTGTAGAGAGACACAACATGTCTGTATGTGTGATGAGTGTGTAGAGACACAACATGTCTGTATGTCATGAGTCTGTAGAGACACAACATGTCTGTATGTCATGAGTGTGTAGAGGGACACAACATGTCTGTATGTGTGATGAGTGTGTAGAGGGACACAACATGTCTGTATGTCATGAGTGTGTAGAGAGACACAACATGTCTGTATGTCATGAGTGTGTAGAGAGACACAACATGTCTGTATGTCATGAGTGTGTAGAGAGACACAACATGTCTGTATGTCATGAGTGTGTGAGAGCACAACATGTCTGTGTCTGTAGAGGAGACACAACATGTCTGTATGTCATGAGTGTGTAGAGGAGACACAACATGTCTGTATGTCATGAGTGTGTAGAGAGACAACAACATGTGTGTATGTCATGAGTGTGTAGAGAGACACAACATGTCTGTATGTGTGATGAGTGTGTAGAGAGACACAACATGTCTGTATGTGTGATGAGTGTGTAGAGAGACACAACATGTCTGTATGTCATGAGTGTGTAGAGAGACACAACATGTCTGTATGTCATGAGTCTGTAGAGAGACACAACATGTCTGTATGTGTGATGAGTGTGTAGA